AACGCGTAGTTGTCAGTTGCGAGTCAAATCTGGAAAAATAAAGTTTTGTTCCAAGTTGTACTCATGTTCTATGTTGCACGGTTCTACGGTATATATTCTTATACATATAGCAAATAGTTGATTTTAACAAGGGCATTTTAGTTGGCTGATCATAAAATGAACTAGAAAGAATAATAATGGTAAAGAAATGAAACACTGCCCATCAGACGTCTATTGGAAATAACTTATAATAACAATTTAAATGGAAATACATTATGTATTAGCTTTCTTTCAGCAAAATATCAAATCAATTCAACCGTACATTTTTTTTTTTTCAAAAACAAATATATGGTCTCACCCTGTATATTAGTTGTATATACGCAAATTATGAAAACAAATAGAGAATTGTAGTTAGTTCTACGAAAAAAAAAAAAAAAAAAAATTGACAAAAATATGCATTTTATGATAATGTGAAATTATGAAATCAAAAACTTAGAGCTTTGGCGCAACGGAGATATTTAATTCCATGGTTCAAGTTCTTTAACATATCAAACTTTTACATATTTTACATTTAAAACGTGCCCCCTCCTTTGCTTTCGGTAAATTATATTTTTTTAATGTTTTTTTTTTATGTGGCCAATTCTGGTAACAATTTTTAAATAGGTTGCTAAATGATTACCAGAAATCGAAATGAATATTTTTACTTTCATATCCTGTATCTTTTCCCACAGCAATATTTTTCTAGCCATATTTAGCCCAATCATATTTTGTCTACTGTATGTCCCATTAGTTATGATCTACACTGTTTATGAGAATATTTATAATCTTTAACCCATGGCACAATATTTGGCAGATTTACTTAATTTTCATTTATCCAAAAGTTTAATATTCATTTTTCCAAAGAGAGAAAAGATGGAAGAAAGAAAACGTAATAGGTACATTGCAAAATTTAAGTATAGATAAATGTGAATAAATGCAATAATAACTACAAAAGGCGAAACTTGAATGCATAAAAGGGCTATATATGTTGTCGAAAAGTTAATAATATAGGTATAAATATTTCAAGAAACGTTATTGTCGTATTATTGCAACACTATATGATAAACATCGACCAATTTTAAGTTGACTTAATTTTTTTGGGTATTAAGTTTTACTTTTGTTGGAACTGAACTTAACTCCCGTTTTACTACTATTATCTTATTTAACTTGCATGTATCCCGCTTTTTACAATATAAATATGTAAAAGAACATAAAAACATTTTTTTACATGCCGTTACTCAGGAACTACTTAACATTTTTATTCGAAAATTTTGATCTTCATACTATCATTTGTTGTATACTAGAGGTCAACGACATCATCATTGACGCTGTGACGTGTCATCGCATTGAAACATTTAAATGTAAGGGGGGATGAATGTTAGCTCAAATAAAAGAGTTTTTATTCCAAATTCAACGTTGTGTCATAGTGAGAGTATTAATCGTGATAATTATATATTTTACATTTTCATATTGTCGTGTGACCGTCTGCGATGGACTCTGTTCTTTGTTTATGCTCATCGCCGTCTGTGTTCCATTTTCGCAGCCCGCCCGCCTTGAGACTAGAGAAGTTACTGGAATTTCTTTGTACGCAGGCCGATACGTGGAGGTAGGATTTCGCGAACTTCTAGACTAGCATCGAGATTCTTTAGGCAGGACTGGAATTATCTGGAGTATAATATTTTGCATATAAATGGATTCTTCTGGCGAAGTTTCAAAATAAATGTTGTCGAATAAAGATAAATTGTTAAATAAATTAGAAGTGTGAAATATAAATAGTGCTTGAGTATAAATAAATTATAAATAAACTGTTTTAAATAAATAAACTATATTTAAAATAAACAAACGTTACATAATTAATTTTCAGTAATTAGTAACACTTCATGATTTTGAAAAGAATTGCTCAAAATGACCCCTCTGCTTACATCTCTGGAGTGAAATAATTTTCTTTTATAAAAGTTATTCAGAATAAATGCAAAACAAAACCAGTTAGCGTTGGAATTCTACCTAAAAGCTAATTAACAATTTTAAACTACTCAAACAGCAGCCCTAGAAGTCATACTAGTTCTAACGCCACTACACATATTCATTCAAGGCAAAGCTAGGTCATCATACACAGACTGCACAAATGTTTATCATCCATATGCAATTTGCATGGGTGTGACTACCGTGAGCTATATAAGGAGTTCCATGTATCGGAAGGTCTTGGGATAGAGTCCCACTGCCGACTGGCCTGCTATGAGTTTTTTCAGAGGTTTTCTTACAGCAATATGCAAATGCTGGGTCAATAACAGCCTCTCAGATACCTATCACCATTCCTTCAACCCCATCCCCTCACACACGATCCCTGATTCCTCCAGTGAGGCTGAAGAGGCTAGGAATGCCTATAGCGGCTCGCTCCCAACTGGTTATAACGACCTTTAAAATCCTATCTTCTCAAGGAAGTGTAGAATTTGGACTGGCTTCAAGTTAGGTAGATCGCCCTCTTCTATTTAGTATGCTCTTAAGTATAGTGCCCTTGGATTCTGGAGTGCTACACATTCAGTCAGAATGTGAGTGCATATTTCGTCCTCCTCCTCACAGAATCGGCACAATTCACTTTTAATAGGCCCATATTTTTTTAAAGGTTATTTAAATACTCAGATACATTTGAATTTTTTGCAGAATGAGTTACCTGTATTGATAGAAGATATTCCTTTAAATGAAAGAAGATACATGATTTGGCAACAGCATGGCGCACCCTCACATAACAGCGTCTTTGTAACAAATTATCTAAATACCATATATCGAAAGATGGATTGGAACTAGTATGGGATTATTTAAAACATCTTGTTGACGAATTTAAAATTTAAATTTGACTAGCTTGTAATAAGATTGGTCCAGAGATGATCTGTATCTGTAATGTGAGGAGGACGGCACTTAGGCCTCACGAGAATTATAGTGCATCCGATAGGGTCCTCTCAGTTCGTCAGCCAGCTTTCAGATTTGATATAGTTGAAATATTGCCGATAGGTGCCTCTCTTATATTGACCATTTTTAACCAAAACTAACAAATCTTCTAATAAATGAAAGCATCGAACAATTTTAGAGGATATGCTCGATAGTCTTATCTTCTTATTCGCCCTCCTCCTGCAGAGTGCAAATTCTGAAAGCCCCATACTATGGTAATGAACGTACTTGGCAATAAACAGTCAGAATACCTGTAATTTGGCACAGATTCTGTCTATTCATAGACAAGTATTTGTTTGCTGTAGTGTTGTCAGGGCAACTTAAGATCTCCCTGTAACTCTGTAGCTTCTTGTTTCATCCCACCTTTCCTTGCATTTCTTAGGTGTGCCATGACCGATATTGTCAGTCCAATGGAAGGGCCAGGTCCAAACAGTATTTGGTTGACTGCTTTCTTGGCTAGTGAATCGGCAGGACGGTTACCTTTCGATGTGGTGTGACCTTTGATCCATCCTAAGATGATCACATTGCTAATGGATACTTCTGCCAAAGCTTCGTGACATTCTAGTAATAAGGTTGAGTAAATTAGTGGTCTGTTCAAGTGCTTATCTGCTATCTGTATAGATGAGCAATTTCTGGCAATTTATGTTGCTATGAGAATCTCCGTAAGCTCAGTTTGAATTACACTGACACTATTGCTCACAGTCCATTTCATGTTTAGGTGTAAGGATCTGAAGTATGTTTCACATCCTGAGCCTTGTTTTGTTTTAGAAACGTCGATGTAGATTTGTTTCGTTATAACTTTATATGACTTATGAAAGATATATCGCGGTTAGATGAATTCCATGTTTACTTGAAACAGTGGCAGCGTATCGAGCGCCTCTCGACAAATGCGACTTCATGCTTCACCAGAACGTACGGCAGGTTATATTCCAACTGTGCTTGTCATTTTCATCAGAGCTACCCTCTGTTGTAAATATCAAGGGAAATGAGACTAAGAATAACTTCCACGACTCTGGTTGGTGTGGTTTTCATGGACCCTGTTATGTTGAGACATGCTGTTCTTTGTATTTGTTCTAGTCAGCTTATAGTTGTCAATTGTTGGATTTTTGGTACCGACAACTGGCGCTTCACGGTTCCGGTTCGGCGGTATTGTTCATAACCAATGTATGCTTTTTTTACTCGTATTTTCTAGATGTGAGTTCCATCTTAGCTTGCTGTCAAAGGTAAGTCCTACATACTTCTGTTACAATGTTTAGTTTTGTGTCGAGGAGCTCTGCAAGTTTTTGGTCCATTATCATCGTGTTTCTTGCGAAAAAGAACATTTGTCTTCTTGCGATTGATAGACAGTAAATGGTCCGTGCACCACTGTTCTATAATTTTGGAAGCTACTTGCATTCGTTCGCAGAGTAAATTCTTGAAATGATCTGTTTTTCAGGCATTTGCATACGCTATGGTGTAGAGACTGTCATTATTGAGGTGGCTGATGAGTTTGTCGAGGTCTATGTTCCACAGTAGAGGTGATAGTATCTCTCCATTTGGACTTCCCCTCACAATAAAAGCCTCTTATAATTACATCTACATTTATGTTCGCTGCTCGTTTTCCCAGAGATGATAAATTTGGCATGTACGTGTGAACTGTTTAGACGATCCGAATGAATATTTTGCATAATTATCCATATTAATACCCTCACTGTGATACCGTTGAATTTGGGACAAAAACCCTTTTATTTGAAGTAATTTTCATCCTCCCTACCAATTTATCTTTTTTTTTAATGCGATGATGTCAAGGCCCCAGTGATGTTACTGATCTCAAGTATACCTCATTGTCATTTCCCAATTTTTGAATAAAAATGTTAAGTAGTTCCTGAGTGACAGCCTGTAAAAAAAATTTTGGAACAATCTGTATATTATGAGGTGAGGTAAAAAGTGAGACGAGCAAATACATTACACACTGAAGTACCTACTCGTTTCGCATTTTTCTTCTAATAATGTTTTAGTATGTACACTATTTCACTCTTTTATATACTATGTTTTAGCTTCAGGAAAAAAATTGTCAGTAGCCAGCAAACGTCCGGCAAATTCTCCACTATCAAAAAGTCTTACCTTACCGCGTTCTATGGGTTCACGTAATGCCCCAGTCCAGCCAGTTCGTCCATTTAATAAGATATCTTCTACTCCTCCCGCCATTAAAAAACAGTTATCTGTCCCTGGAAATTCTGGATCTCCAGCAAGAAAAGCTAATAGTGCTAATAACAATAACAATGGAGGTAAGTTTCAATATTTTGAAAATTCGTATTTACTGGAATCAAATATATTAGTGTTGTAAACGACCTATATCTCTTTATAGAACTTATATTTTTTAATTTCTACTTTCTTAAATTTTATGGATCATACCATTATTTCTTAACAAATAAAAATGGCAGTATGTTTTTTTTTGTCAGGTGCGAGTACAAGTAAGCAGGCACAAAGGGCGCGCTCCACATCTTTACGAGGAGTAGATCCGAAATTGGCAAATGCTATACTTGATGAAATTGTTGAAGGAGGGCCTTTAGTACAATGGGAAGATATTGTTGGCCAGGATGTTGCGAAACAGGCATTGCAGGAAATGGTAATTTTGCCTTCTCTACGTCCAGAATTATTTACTGGGTTGAGAACTCCTGCTAGAGGTTTGCTTTTATTTGGTCCTCCAGGAAACGGAAAGACTTTACTTGCCAGGGCAGTTGCTACAGAATGTCAGGTAAAATAAAACAATGGAGTTTTGTGTTTATATATTTAAAAACAAAAATTATCTCGTAGGCTACTTTTTTTTCCATAAGTGCTGCAAGTCTTACTTCAAAATACGTTGGAGATGGTGAAAAAATGGTGCGTGCTCTATTTGCCATTGCAAGAGAGTTACAGCCTTCTATTATATTTATTGATGAAGTAGACTCTCTGTTATCAGAAAGAACAAATAACGAACACGAAGCTAGTCGTCGACTTAAGACTGAGTTTCTTGTAGAGTTCGATGGTTTGCCCAGTAATCCAGAGAGTGAAAAAGTAAGTTTTTTTTTGGGTAATTTAATGTTGATAAAATTTGAACATATTCAAAGGTGTATTTTACTTATCGGCACCTTCGAGCCAACAGGAAAATACATTTTGTTTATTTGGTTAATTCACTTTTCCTACTCTTTTCAATCACTAAATATTCAAGAATTCCTATCTTGGAATGGGTTATGACGCATATTTTATTTTATTATTACTACTAATATACAGGATGTCAATTTAAAAACTTCCCATTAGCAACCTCTCCCAATAAAAAAGAATCGGGTAGATTTTTATTCCAAGAGAGATACCTTTCTATGATATTTTCAAATGTCAAACGTCGTTCCCCTTTCCTCTGTCACACTAACCAAAACAATTTAAATAAAGAAAGTACACAGTATGCCACATCATTGAAAAGATAATTTTATGGGGAATTAAGCAATATTACTGTTCATTGCGGTACTTTTGATTTTAGCGCTTCATTTGAAAACTAATTTTATTAGTAATTTAATGCACGACATAACTAAACATAATTTAATGAAACATAACTTAAACAGGCATAATAATGTTGCCATTAAATCAATTTAACTTTAGCAATCAATCAAAATAGAAAATTTATGCTACTCATTGAATTAGCTTTCAATTTACACTACTTTACACTACGTAACAGTTTTTTATCCTACGAGAGGGCGCTAAAATCAAAAGTAACCTTTACAATGATGCATCAGCCTGGGTACTTTCCCTATTTAAAATTGTATTGATTAGTGTGACGGAGAAGAGGGAACTGATGTATGACATTTGAGAATATAATACCAAGGAATGAAAATCTTATCTGTTATAAGCAATTTTTGATATTATTTTTTATTAGGAGGAATTGCCAATGGAAAAATTTTAAATTAACATCCTGTATCTAATAAATATTTTTAGGTATTAGTCATGGCAGCCACGAATAGGCCTCAAGAATTGGATGAAGCTGCGCTTAGACGTTTTCCAAAAAGGGTATATGTGAGCTTGCCAAATTTAGAAACTAGAGCTAAATTATTAAAGAAATTGTTGTCAAAACAAGGTTGCACATTGACACAACAAGAATTAAAGAGGTTGGCAACATTAACGGAAGGTTATTCAGGTAGTGATTTGACTGCACTTGCCAAAGATGCTGCACTTGGTCCAATTAGAGGTAATTTTGATTTTTTCAATGTGTAGATTACAAAACAATTCTATATTAAAACTTATATGGGAAACCATGAAGGTAGGATATTGAAGGAGATGCTATATTTATTTAAACATGTATTCTATAAATGACATCGGTGGGCGCGGTTAAGTGGACGTAAGTGAAGCATCAATATGACAAAAGTACCAGGTCCAGACTAACTGTTTTTTTCAATCGGGATAGAAATTATTTTTTCCGATTTGAGTCGAAAGCAGATATTAACAATTAGTATATTATAATTTTCGGTTGTATATTTAGATTTAATGAATTTTGTTTCAAAACTATAAAAAATCAACTTTTGGAAAACTACTTATTTAAACATTGTAAATTAAAACTAAATAAAATATTCGTAGTTATTGCATATTTTAACACAAATTTTAAGGGGAATAAAATTTTTTCTGTATTCTGTTTTCTATATTTGAGTATTTTTGGGTAAAAAGTGTTATTGTAAAAAAGGCATCTACTTTTACCCTAAATCTAAAAGTAATTTTACAAAATAAACCCGTACTGGACATGAATCTTTAAATTACTTGCACAAAAATAAAACAAACGCCATGGGTATAAAAAATTTATTGCCCTTTAAATATAATTTTATTACTTTGATGCCTAGTACGATAAATAAAAAATAAATTTTAAATTAATTGGATATAGATAAAATATTTTTTTATTGTATCTACTGAAATGAGCCAATTCCTCAGGGTAAATAAACAAGGTTCTGGTACATTGGAAATTCTTTATTCAAACACACAACTCCAAAACAGCGACAAGTTGGGTTGGACATCAACCACAGCTCCAGTCGTTTTGCGTCACAAAATAAAACACTTAATTTAATTGTTACCGTTTGGCAACTAAAACCTGTATGTCTCCTCCCGTGGAGGAAGGATAGTTAAGAGTTGCCATGTCTTTGTAGAAATTTGGCAACAAGTTTGCTTGCAGCGATCTGTGGGGGTGGGTGGTTGAACTAATCCTACTCTGTCGGTAATGTAGTTACCTGTAATATCAACTACGCGATTACTCTATCGGTAATGTAGCTACCCGTCATATATTTAATTTGAAAATTGGCGGGATTTGTTCTACTAAAAGGAGAATTTACATTAGCAATTATTATTTTCTATCTAATACAAAATATAGCCATCCAAAATTTCAGTTTGTTTTTTCATTTTTAATGTAATAAAAAACATGTACGAGTAGGTAAACATTAAATAAGTTCCTTTGAAATCACTTTTTCAAAATTTGATCAAATTTTGATGGCAACAAAAACGCAAAATTTTGTTTGTGGAAAGATTTTCTCAATTTTTGAGAAAATAATTAAATCAAATTTCGGAATAATTTCACTTTTACCTGAAGGTACATATTTTTCATTCACAAAAAATTAAAATAAACTATACAAATGTTCATGGCTCTATTTCGTATTGGTTAGAAAAAGTAATTACTGAAGTAAAATTCTATGACATAATTATGAGGGGTAAAATAAATTCTATACAAAGCTTTATATAATTTTATTTACTAAAAATTCCCAAGAAAAATAAATAAATCAAATAAATGGCAATACAACAATAATAATAATAGATTTTGCTACCCTTCACCCCCATATGAGTTGAACCTCAAGAAGAGCTTGGGCGAGGCAAGCATGGCAATTATTATTTGCTATGGCACTCTGGGACGACTTAAAGATGACTGATGGTGCCATTTTATTTACAGGTGAGGAAAACCCACATACTTTGATTACTATACGAGGCAAGAGAGAGGCCCGACACGCCCAACATAGGGCGCGGCCATTTTGAACCCTGTGACACAGTTTACAGCTAAAGAATCAGATCGCTCACTCTGCCTCGGCACTTTGGATCTCAATGTTTCAGTTTATACACTGCGCAACTCGGATAATACAATATATGACAACCGCCTATAATAAAACAGCAGTCTTCTGCGTATCCTGAATTTGTATCCCTGGAGTGGATGTTATTTTTGAACTTTCAACGGATCCGAGTGAGCTAACTGATTCTTTAGCAATAAACTGTGACTCAAAAAATAATATTCACTGACACTGATAGCAGCAGGCAAAATATCAGGTGCGTTTTAATCATCCGCTTCTGCTTCCGGAATTGTCGGTTTAGTCGTTTTAATCTGTCAGATTAAAACAAGAAAACCGACAATTCCGAAGCAGAAGCGGATGATTAAAACGCACCTAATAAAATTATTGCGCCAAGATGTAGGCAACACGTAATAAGGGTTCAAAATGGCGGAGTTTTCTATCTCCATTTAAAAGGCACTCAGAAAGCTGCGCAGTGCGACCATTCTCCGTATAGTAAAAGAAAATCAAAGTATGTGGGAAAACCAGATAAACCCACCTACCGTCATTATTACAAAGTACAATCCATTTTTACAAATGTTTACTAGTTTCTATAAAAAATACTCCCATTTTCATGAAAATATTATTATATAAAGATTATCTAATGAGTTTGACTTAAAAACAAATTCTAGTATTATAAATTATCTTCAAATATTTATTATCTTTAAGAAAGTTACTCTAATATCACAATTACATTACTATTTACATACGTTAACTATCTTTGCTTAAAATAATGAAAACCAGAAATTGCAAAACAAATAATTCATGTACTTTATTTGAAAAAACTAATGCCTAATAAATTTTCTCAATAAACAAAAAAAATCTTGAATTTTGGGAAATAAGGTAAAAGCAACCATCCATATAAACTGAAACAGAAAAAAAATTAAATACAGTAACTTCAATCAATTTTATCTTTTTGGTCTTAAAAACATTGCCGCAGCCCCCATACTAGGTCTGTTCGGGTTCTTCAAAAATACATTTAAAACTAGCAGAGGACTAGTTGACCAGTGGCTAGTTTAATAGTTGTATGCGACGAATAATTTGGAATTGAATTGTTCCACTGGTTCTCGGATGGTTTGCATCGAGTTTTAAAGAAACCCGAACAAACCTACTATCATTATAATCGTTTCAAATTAAATTGTTGAAATATCTTTGATTCTGAAATTTTGAAGACAGTTTTTCTTTCTCTCTTAAAAATCCATTATCGAAACGTTGTTTCTTAGGTAATATTCAAATTCATTTGATGACTGATCATCTTTGAAATTTTGATCTATATTATTAAAATGTAACACAGGTAATCTGTTTGGAGGTGGGATAACATTACTAAGTACTATTATATCTGCTGTATCTGGTTTTGAGGGAGCTAAAGGCAAAGCAAATCATAGCAGTCTTACTCTTGAACGATTTGTAATTGATTTTGTATCAAAATTATCTCATAATTTATGATTGGTTTCAAGCACAATGAAAGACAAAAATGTCATTCACCGGGGTTTTAAGTGGAATGTTTAAAATGTAGCACCATTTCTTTCTTTGATCAATATCAGAAGAAAAATGAAAAAAAAAAAACATTTTTTCTTAAAATTTACGTTTGAAATGGACATATAAAATGTACTATTACAATTGGAAATTATGTATTTATAATGAATTTCCCCTGGTAAAGACTCGTTAAAGCATTAAAATACCTTTACTTAATTTTAAATAATTCTATAAATAACATCTAATACTGGAGGTGGGTGGCTCAGTGGTAGAGTCTCTGCCTGTGGATCCAAGGGTCCCAGGTTCGAATCCCACCGTTGGCCGGAATTTTTTCATTTAATTTAATTATTTAAAATTAATTCTGATGCCTTGGTAGGATTCCCCACTCGACCATTCACTGTTGGGTTCTAATTAACAGTGATGTTGCTAAAGTGGCGCTGGGAAACAGTAACAAAGCCTACATAGAACACGAGGCGAAATAACCTTAGCAGTTGAAGCCGATGACACACAACAAAAATCTAATACTAAAATAAATAAAAATACTCTCACTCACAAGTTTTCGTCGGCAGCCATAACCATATTGTTTTTTTGTTTGTTGACAGTGCGCGCCTGTCATTTGTGGTAGTGGGTACACGGAGGAGCCAGCAGGCATGCAGTGGACAGAAAGACGGGTTAACATTGAACAAATAACTAAGTGAAGGCATGATTTTTTAATTTATTGGAATATATAAATTAAAATTATTGAATTAATACTTTTTTTGTGTTACCAAGCGAGATGTTATTAAATTATTCAGTGTGCTTCACGTTTTAATACAATAAGGTTATTGTAAAATGGACTTCAGAGCACCCAAGCGCCTTGTGGTGTGCTCAGTAAACGGGTTGGTATATTGTGCATATGATATAAACCTGAAAACAGCAGGTTCTTTAATTGGCTAGAGGTTTTAATTTGTAGATTTAACATTTTTACACCTGACTCCTCCGCGAAAAAGTTGACAAGCCGTAAATCTTAGTATAAACTGTACTATCTATTCTGGTATTTAATTTTTTATATTTTAATTCAAAATTACCTAAAACCACATAACTTTACCAATCATTTAATTTTTTCATATTTCAGGCCTGATGATGGCTTTTAAGCCGATACCGTTTGCCTACGTTTTTTTTTTTCAATAAAATATTGTGTGATACAGATTTTTTGTTTACTTTCTCATACTTGTCATTTTATTTAAAAATCGATTTATGATTTCGTCTAAATCTAATTTTATATTTAGATGGACACACATAATAAAGCTAAACCGTTAAGGCGATTTTTTAGCATGGTAAGTTTTACATGTGGTTATTTTAAAAGACCGAGAGTAGAGACTTGTTACAGAAATTGTAAATGTACAAAGAATTTTAGGACATTTGTAAAATTTGCCCCACTGGTCAACACCCTATTCATTTTCACCATCCTTTGGCTTTCACTTTATTTCAAGAAAATCAATTTTTTGGTAAAGTAAAAATTAAGTGAATATATTCCCGAGAATTTTAAATTCTCTCGTTTTTAAACATACGCACACGGGTCTATTTTATCTTTTCGTCAGTCGCAAATCTGTTTGTAATTCCCACCAATACTTTACTTTATATTACCCTACAAAAGTTACGT